TTCTAAAATTAGAAAGTAATATGGTTGCATAGCTTTGTGAATATACTAGACACAACTTAATTGTTCATTTTTAAATAATAGATTTTATGTTATGTGAATTAGTTCTTAAGAATTTTTAAATAAAAGGTAAGAGGTAGATGGTTAGCATTTGACAGTACTGCCAGTTATTTGAGAGGAATCTTGTTCATAAAGTGTTTCTTACTTAACAAGAAAATTTCTAAATTACAAGACATTCAAAAAATCTAAATGATTCTTTCTTTCTAGCATTATCCCAGGATATCTGGTTTCATATTACTAAAGTAAATTAATATTATTTGGTTTGTATTAGTAATTTTTCTAGCATTATTGATATTTAAATTCTGGAGCTACGTTAGCTTTTCTTTTTCCTCCTCCTCAAAAGAAATGACAATAAGTTAAATTTATGTTAGTAAAGAGGAAATATTATAATTCTATCTTTGCCTTTGATGTACACACAAATTAGAATATTCTAAAATTGAAAAATAACGATATAGGAATGTGCCTTTAATTTTTAAATATAAAATTTTGTAGCTATATAGTACCAACTTAATTCAAAACATTTTATAGGTAAAATGTATTTGTTTAGTTCTAACTTTACCTTTTGAATAATTGGATTTAAAAATAATAGAATTTTTAAGTCATCTTCTGAACAGCCAGAACAACCAAGATTCCTTCCATCAGAGCTAGGCTTCTATATTCATTCTCAATTTTGATTTTACTCCATTTGTATATTTATCCCCTTCAATCTTAATTTCTATATAACCGAAATGTTTATATACGTGATCAGGCTATGTACAATGGAACCTTGTCATTTATAATACCCATTGATAATGTTTATATAATTCTATTTAGATGTTCTTTTCCTTTCTTTCCTTTTTATTTAGTTGTTATGGAATTACAAACTGAACTTAACTACAGATCCCAAATTTGAATCCGTGGCCAGAGAAGTTTGCAAATCTACCATATCAGAGGTAGGTTGTAAGAGAATTTTGAGAGTATATGTTGGCTTAAAAGAGAAAAATCCATCTGTTGATCAGACTAGTCATTAAAAGAGCAATGACTGCTCTTCTTGGAATTCACATATAATGGTTGGAAGATAGAAAAGGTGCTGTAATTTAAATGACTTTAAAATTAAGAAGACACTTCACCTTCACTTAGAGAATGACACTATGGACAAGTTGGAAATCAGGTTTTGTTGGTCCCTAGAGGATACAGTTATGTACGCCACCATTGCCTCTCTCATTCACCTCTTGCATACTTCTGAGACATATCCACATGGTGTTTCCCTAGGAGATATGTAAACATAATGCATTTTCTGACTGTGCAACTGAATCAGTTGAACCGCAGACTCAT